CTGGTAGGGAAGAACCCGAAGAACGCAGCGCGCGTGCGTAATGAATGGAAGAATTATGTAAAAATAAYGAACCAAAAACGGCTGCGGGAAAGAAAGACGCGCCCGGGCGATCCCTCCTCCACCCCTCTCCCACACATACACACCGTCACGAGCCGCAGTCGGAGAGCGAGCACGCTGCAGTGTGCATAGTCTGTTTTTCTTCTTTTAATGATTAACAAACGAATGGATGATGATGTCGGTAATTAGTTTTCCCATTAAGAACTATTTGGATGGTAAAAAAAAAAAAAAATACATAAAACACCCAGTCGCTTGGCGGTCTACCGTCCGCACAGTCCAGCGCGCCTCTGAAACGGGTAATTAATCATTAATTAAACTTACGTAAAAAAGAAAAAAATTAATAATGTACAAATAAATAATAATAAAAATAATGTTCACTAAACCGATCGCGGAAAAATTTGATTATCTCCATCTGGAATGTATAATGTAAGTCAGGACGACGCAATTATATTATTTATTGTAGCTATACAATCGCGTTGTTTACAAACTCCATTCATTATTCTTTATATTAATTTTACCGTGTGATTTTCACCGTTTAATTAACGAACTGCTATAATAAAATTACACAGAAATAAYATGCTGCTGATTTGGATGAAATATTTTTCCATTAATGTAACATTAGATTTTATCTCCACGTCTATGTGACTATGTGATATCTGAGGAGCGAAGAAGTACTCATGGGGAGCGCCCCCCCCCCAACGAAAATTGGTTCAACCTCGTATGACGTTACCGTTAAAATAGATTAAATTAAAATTTAATAAAAATAAAAATATATGTTAAAACCATCCATGGGGTTATAAAATAATAATTGTATTTTGTTTCGTTTGTTTCACTCGGACACAGTACAATATCAAGAAGAAAGAAGAATTACCCGAACCGGTACAAGAAGAGCCCGCCAATCCGTTGATGCGCAAAAAGAAAACGCCTGAAGAGTTGGCAAAAGAGGCAGAAATGGAAGAGGAGGACGAATTTACCAGTAAGAATGAAAGCGATATATTATTATATTTGTTTATATTATACATTTTTTTCTTTTTAACTTTTGAACGCAAATGTACACTAAACATACACGTGTGGGTGGTGGGTGGTGTGTGCATTATGCCATGTACTCGAATCGAAAAACCCGAAACGCACTTAAACATCCTCCGGTTATTTTATTTGTAACCCGAGTCTCGCCGCCGAGTTTGCTCGTCCATGACTACACCGAAATGCATTTATCACAGACGACGACCGTTAAGTAAAACTAACGTTTGTAATATATTTTATATGTATACATTATATATATATATATATATGTACATATTGTACACAACAATATTATAAGTGTATTTGTGTGTGTGTGTGTGTGTGTGTGTGTGTGTGTGTGTGTGTGTGTGTGTGTGTGTGTGTATATGTGTATATTATTCGAAGTTCACTCGACGAAAGGAAAAAGATATTTCACCGAATGTTGGCCGCGACCACTTCGGGGCCAAGTAGGGTTAGTGTTTGTTTAGAAAACAGAAAATCAAAAAAACAACGATCGTCACTGTCGTTAAAATCAATTTCGGAACAGGACGATTTTTTTATTTTTACTTCGTTGGTAGTTACAGATGACCATTATATTAGATTATTGTATAGGATAYAGAATGCGAAATAAAAAATCGTAGAAAATTCTAGTTTCGTGAATTACTTTCTTTCGATAACAAAATGGTTTATTWTTTTTTTTAMTATAGACAGGAAATAATAGTTGACAACTTTTCATTCGCACACCCCTCTCCCTCAAACAGTCTTACATCGTGATTTATTTGACTGAAGTTTATTTCCACTTTTGTTTTATTCATCGTAGTCCGGCAACGTTAGCTTTACAATATAAACGAAGTCTCTCTCTCTCTCTCTCACACACACACACACACATATTTATTATACAGTTAGGTGTGCGTAATGTTTAAAACAACACTGGTTATCGTTCAGTCGTCCGAGAAAAAAAATCGCTCTCCCGTCCACGTTTAGACCTCGCGTGGATAAACAGTGTATAGTATATTACGGTCTCCTCATCAGTATTAAACTGACATTTAGAACACTTTCGTCTGATAGCAATGATGATCATTGTTGCGTTGTCAGTAGCTACCGTTTTTGGAATACATATTATATAAATAAAACATTATCGAAGCGYTTATACACATACCCACGACGATGGTTTCCCTCACACCGAGTAGATGGTTTGATGAATTATTTTTATTACTATCGTGCACATTCCGTCCGAGCTCTATAAATTCCGCGTTTGTATAAAAGCATTTTCTCTCTCTCTCTCTCTCTCTCTCTTATAAAGTGGAATTAAAATTTGGAAATGCTGTTTTCGTATAATATTTTATCTTTCGCCTAATTTGATCTTTTGGGTTTTACGATTTACCMGGAATCGTATTACTTATAATGCAATATAATAGGCGGTACCTACCTCAGGACGGGGTAGGCCATATCACTTACCAGGTATTACCTACGTCGTTTCGTTTAATCTCTTACGCACGAATTTCGACGGCTCTTGTTCGGCAAGTCGATTTTTCCAGTACCTACAATTTTACCACACGAAAAAGGAAATCCGYTTTTAAGTTAACATTCCGCTTTATACCGGTATTTTATAATCAAATAATCAAACTTCTATGTGTGGTAACCTCGTATTTATTTGTATGTTTTAATGACACATGAGCAGGTCTGCTATCGCCTAAAACTACCCTTCAATCACTTACTATCCACCTACCATCATCATTAATCATGCTATTATTGTACCCAACTCGATAACTGTGAACTTTAATATGAGTACAACTATGGCAATATAAAATCGAAACAATAATCCTCAATGTGTGATGCCATATTATTACGGCGTAGACTTGAAACTAATGATTAGGACAGTTTTCATTAAACGTTTTCTCCCATTATTTAGTGATATTCTCAGTCGACAGTTTATATAACTCTCAATACACAATAAAAATAATATATTGCTTAATATTTTTGAGGTCACGAATGCACTTTTGTAGACTGAAACTTTCGGGTAGTCAAGCGGGCTAAAATTCTCACCATGTTTCATGACTTTATGAATTATAACAAGTTTGAGAGTTTATTTCGAAATACAATGCGTTCAACTACAATATTATATGTTATTTTAATACATCATCGTATTATCCGTTCYAGCAGCTACACCGAAACGCGAGAGCAGATATATTGCGAGCGTAATATATTAAAATCGATACGGATTAGTTGAATAAACATATTATTAAACTCGATGAAACCCCATTTATATATACACCGAATAACGGAATGAACATGGAGCCATTGAGGCGTTCAAAAACCGGATCGGCTGATTAATATTTCCAATTAGATTTTGAACGTAAATTAAATGCCCAAAACGAACGCCGCACAGTTTTTCACCATTTCGATCCAACGCCCACAGAATCAATCTCGTTTCGCTCAATTCAGAAATAATGATTTATATGCGACCACTCGACGGCGAATAGAGAATAATAATATAATGATTGGCCTTGTCTGAACTCGCGAGGGTCGATTAGTTTTTTCTATAACTTTTCCTCCATAGCTCCTTCATTTGAATTCAATTGATCAGGTTCGTTTCGAATACCATATACGCRGTATAATGCACGTTTCTCTGAAGTGTGTACGAGGCGCACTGGCCTTGAATAAGAATAAACTACTAATCCATTCGACTCTACAGATAAAGTGACAATCCGGGCTCGAATCGTAYAATAAACTTGAGTGCATGCGCGTGAACATAACACTGGAAGGCTCATTTTTTTTTTTTTTAATTATTAAATTAAGTGTACCCTAAACACCATATTTTCAAAATTTTTTTTTGTACTTCTTAATGAGTTTCTTTTGGCAACACAGTTTTATTTTACAAATGAAGACACCGATTTTAAATGTAATTTATTTAACAGATAATTTTCTTGAAAAATATAAAAATAATATTTGCTTAATATTTAAAACTGAAAGTGGGTTGGGTGTCCTATTTGAAAACCGAATTTTGAATTATCACATGATCATCCTAAAGTGGTACAAAAATCGAAAGGATTCTAAAATATGATCTTTAAGTGTATTCAAAAATTCTAAAAAATTTAGTATTTTATGTATTTGTGTCGGATTTTCAGTGGCATGATACTACATATTTTACTGCGATAATGTCAGCTCGAATTTAATGAAAACAAAAAATTCGATGCAACCGATGTCGACACAGAGCAAAGATAATGTATTTATTCCATACCAGCGCGCGTAATGACACATTTTCGTAGAAATWAGAAAACAAACTTAGTGTACGAAAAAAATCAAACTTTTTCGTTAAAATCATTGATTTCGGAGACACCACCGAAAGAGAGAAAACATCATAGCGGGGAATACTCGCCTTACAACTTTATTTCTATTTTTCTCGGAGAATCTGATATTTTATTATGTGCCTTGTGCAAATAATGAAACATAATAATTTCTACTCRCCCCAACTCGGGTCGCCAACTTTTAATTTGGAAAATACCGGCCGGTTGGCTACCATAGCTCCGACCCGTCGATGTATTATATTATGTTATTATTTTAAGTAAACGAGTAATAATACTATTTCTGAGGAGTATAATAATAATGCATAAATGACGGTCGAATGAAAACACTGCAGCYAGGAGTTTAAAACCGATAAGAAAGATAAGAAAGTTTCGGAATGGGAGCTTACGGGYGAATATTATTTTCTGGTGCGTTGTAATGTACCGAAAACTTTTGGCCATCGTACTCCACACCGGCCAGAGGATTAGTTCATTATTATTATTATTATATCCAAAGCGTAAATTTAATGGAACACCACCACTCACTCGGGGATGAATGTGGCGTGTGTTTTTCTTTAATTTTAATTATTTTAATATTTTATTATTATTCAAAAGACTATACCGCCGTTGTTTGGATTTTTTTTATTTTTGTTCACAGAGTTGAAGAATACCATYGAGACACAGGTGAACGAACTCAAATCTCAAATCGAGAGCAAGTGCAGCCTCCAATGAGGTGTGTTCAAAAACAACGCGGAACAAATATGATAACCTATAATGCAAAAAAAAAAAATTATAAAGAAATAACAAAAAAAA